TCAATTTGGAAAAACATATATCAATTGTTTCTAACGCTTTAAAAAAAGCTACAATCAGAAAACATTTCAATTTCAGTAGCTGTTATGAATTAACGTACTATCGTGTGATGAATTGGAATAAACATTTTGTAAAAAAAGATTCCATCAGGCTGTTCAGCCACCTCATTTATTAGCATATGCATCCTGGATCCAGAAACAAGGGGACAGTTTTTAAATGATGAACAAGAGCAATTAGCAGAAAACTGTCTTTCTAAGCATCATCCAGAATTTCTGCCAGGTATTATGGCATTCAAAATTACGGATCCTGAATACTTTCCAAAATCAATGATGCTTCACGCCGTTATTCTACAGTTTTCATCGAAAAATAGTGGAAAATTAAGGCAAAAAAAAATCCAAGTTTCCACAAAATTTCTGCCAATTCTTTTTTCTTTACACTCAGCACCAGCATTCTCTGTCTATATCGAAAGACACTTTTCAACTTTTAGTTTGGTGTAGAGTAAACTACGAAATAGATTAGGAATAAATAAAGCTACAAAACTCGTAAAAGTGTATCACCATCTAAGAGAGAAATGTAGACACTTTGAATCTGCTGTATAATAATAATAATAAATTAAAAAATGGATCTTTTTTTTAAGTTAACTCTTAACATCTGCTGACAATTTTTAACTATTTGGAGAAAGTTTATCACCATTAAAAAACAGTTAAAAATTAAAATATTACTTTTAAGATTTTTTAAATATTCTTTTCAAGATTTTATTTCAATATAATTTATTTTCTTTCTTTTAATCATGTTTAAAAATATTGAAAACAAATAAAAAAACATTTTCTATTAAGTGATACATTAAACAACAATTAACAAAGTCAAAGTTTTATTTTCTGGTTTAAAAAAATAAGCTAAAACTTTTTATGCATGCTTTTTGTAACTTTTAAATTAATTTGTTTTTTAAAATTATAAAGTTAAAATTTATCTAAAAATGCAGTCTTTTTTTCTAAAAATGCAGTCTGTTTTCTAAAAATGCAGGTGAAGCATTTAAAAAATGGGACAAGTAACTGATACTCTTTATAATTAAATGTAATTTTAATTTCACTTTTTATTAATCGTATTATAAAAACATGGAAGACCATTAAATACGTATTCCAATTTAATTTTATTAATTAAATTTTAGTTTTTACTGATTATAAATTTGTAATAAGTAATATATATATACACATAAGCAACAAACGAAAACAAAAAGATTAATAAACTTGTTCCTTTTATATTACTGTTGCATTTATATTTTATAGTGCTTCAGTTAAAAATTGTGAAATGTTATGTATTTAAGAATAAAGATTCAAACATGTATTAGTGATAGTGCATTCTTTAAACTTATTTTAATTATAATATATATATTTTATATAACTTTTTTTGGATTTATACATCACCATTTAATACAAAAAAATATTTTCACATTAAGTAGTTTATGAGCAATAAATGAAAAAAACCAATTTCCCCCAGATTTTTTCAAATAAAACCCGAGCGGGTTGGGTTTTCTCAAACCCTGCCACAAACCCGTTTATAGGGCGGGTCACATTCACACAAAGGAGAAAGGACGTAGAACACAGAGAGAGAGAGAGAGAAAAAAAACATTGATGCCCTGAGCAGGATTCGAACCCGCTGCCAATGGCTCCGCAGTCAGACACGCTAACCACACGGCAACCTGATCAGCAAAATTGATAAATTTAAAAAAATATAAGAATTGGATAAAAGAAATAGGTTTTTTTTTTTGTCATATCACTTGGTTCAAAAATCATTTTAAAATAAATTCAAACTTTAAAAAAAGCAGAATCTTCACAGATTTAAAATATAAGAAATAAATCAATAAATACATATTTTGATTAGTAAATATAAATTAAAATTAAATATTTTAATTCGGGAAAATTTGTACGGTTTAAACAAAAACCAAGAATAAAATAAAACCATAAACCAAAATAAGATTCATTATTTATTTCGTATTATATATCAAGCACAAACATTATTTCTATTTCTTGAATTATTAGTGGTTTCATGAAATTTAATGAGGAAAAGTTTTCTTTTTAATTTTTTTTTCTAGAAAAAAATCACTGAAGTTACAAAAAATCACAAGCAGTGAGCAGCTTAAAAATTTACGATTTCCGACACCTCTCAAACTCTTCACGTTGCAATTAAATTGTACTGAAATTCTGTTTTACATTGTATTAAAATATTGGAATATATGACTCTAATTGCTGAAAAAATGACGGAACAATAAATTAGATTGATGATGAAATTCGACACAAAATTGTATCAAAAAGTGATGAAAACTTGCATGTCGTAATATAGTACTTGGAAAAAATGCAATCGTCAAAATCAAGAGGAAAAACATTGCAATAGTTGCAAAAAAAAAAGCTTAAACTACGATGAAATCAGCACGAACAAAGTGTGTCAAAAAGTTAATATTAAATGCATTATTTAAATTTGCATATCGTAGTAAAATTTAGAATTTTTAAAACCAAGTGGAAATGTAAAGCAGTAACTGCCAAAAAATAAGTGAAAAACAACTTGCATTCACGAGAAATCGTTATGAACAAAGCGTGTCAAAAAGTGATTATTTAAATGTGTCATAATGATCTCTAAGGGAAAATTTGGCATTTTCAAATCACATGAAAAAGTGTAGCAAAAACTGTCTTTCAAAAAAAAAAAGTTTTAAAAAAATTTTTGCTTAACGAATGAAATAGGCGTAAATAAAGATAGTAAAATAGGACGCAATGAAAATATATAAAATATTAAATGCACAATTTAAAACTCATAAGTTGTTATTGTATCGTGTTAAATGTATCGGAATTTTAAAAACCATTTAATGAAATTTATAAACATACTAGAAAAAAAAGGATAAAAAATCACTTGGATTTAAGATGAAAGTGGCAAAAATAAAGCAAGACAAAAAGTGATTATTCAAATTTCGAAATTCGTGTATCTTATAATCGTATTAAAAGTATTGGTTTTTTTTAAAAAAAACATGCAAAATTCCAAAACAAATATGGCGGAAAAAGTAATTGAGAAACGTAGATCTATAATAGAATCTATGTAAATTAAGCTTGTCAAAAAGTGACAACTCAAATGTGTGATTCAAAATGTTTGTTATTTTTGTAAATTTTTTTCGATTGTGTTCAGAAGCTTTTGTGGGCCGCTCATCAACAGTCAGCCGTCCGCACGAAATAAACTTTGAAAAATAAACTTTGTTGAAAAATATTTTTACAGAAAGTTCTTTGCCAAACTTTCCCCAAAAGGGCCGAATATGAATTTCAACCTTACTACAAATATTTTTTTTTCTTCTTTTTTTGCATTGCTTACTACACTGCTTTTTTTTTTTTTTTTTTTAAAGANTTTTTTTTTTTTTTTTTTTGAAAAAAGCTCACTATACTACTAATTACAAAAAAAAATTGCAACTATAGTAGTTTTGCTACTTGTAGCATGTTACTTATGAAAATGTTAGCTTAAAAGTTATGATTACTTACGTTAGGATAGTTTTTGATGTAAGTATTTACTATATATTTGTAATTTTTTTTAAGCTATTAATTGATTTAGTGTAGAATTAGTGAAATTTTTTTGTCCATTTGGCTGCTAATTCGCTATTTGATGTGATGATTTTATCGATTCTTTTAATAAATTTTTCGGCAATTATCATAACTGATTTTCACCTTTTTTTAAAAAAAAAAAAAAAATCTGAATATAAACAATATTTTTTATCTCAAAACATGAATCTCTTATAATTTATTTAATTAACCCCTTTTTAACTGCCCAATTTGCACGATTTTGTCATAATTGCATGTGGTTTTATCAACAAGCTTTAGTTATTGCTGTAGATTTCATGATTTTTTATTAATTTTTTTATGAGATGACGACTCACAAGATGAGAAAAAGGAGATATGAGTAATTTTTTTCATTGTATATATTCTTTTATAGATTGATGAGAAAAACTTTATTAAATAAATTTTTTTTCTTTTAAATAATTTTTTTTTAAAAATTTTATAGACGTTTCTTTTTGACATAAAAATGACAGTCTTCTGATTCTCTTTTATGTATAAGAAAAATTAAGTACTTAAAAACAAAACAACTGCACAATGAGAAAAAAAAATTTCAGATAATCTCTTCATCCAGCAATCACATGCCTGCAGCATTAAATAATAATAATATTCTCATTGAAGCTATAAATACTAAATTCCAGGTGATGTAAGCTTTTAGTTTATTTATATATATCATAAGATAATGATATTTCTGGATCAATACTCGTTCAATCCAAAGGTTCAAGTTGCCAAATTTTGCCTTGTTCTTGTACTTATGATAAAATTAAAATATCTATACTGACATCAAGTTTATCCTTTTCTGTGTTAGTTTTTTTAAAATATTTTTTATTATTGTTAGTTTCTCATGTGTCTTTGACCCGTTTGTCAGAAAAAATTAGTTGCCATATTAAGGTCGGTACACCGGTCCTTCCCTTACTACAGGGATCTGTCCAGGCCAAATTTACTACCGTTCAGCGGTACCATGACAAATTCAACTTTAGGAAAAACGGTAGTTTCACAAAATACTTTTTCATGAAATTATATTTTTGTATCCCGTAAAAAACAATAAATCTATATTTTTGTGTTGATTTTTTAATATAATTTTTAATTTTCACAAATTATGTCTAAATTTTCTCAAAATAGGTACCTCTCAGCCTAGACAGACCCCTGCCTTAAACAATATAACGTGTGATCATGTGACTTTTTGCAAGTATTTAAAAGCTTAAAGCCTCTGTGATTTAAAGAAGTTATATTTTTGTAAAATGCTTTTAATTATTTTTTAATTTTGAAATAGCTAAAGAAGATGCCAAAGTAAAAATATCTTTTGCCGAATAGATAAACACTCTTTTTATTTAAAATAGTTAGCTATTATGGTTGTTAGATACATTTTTCTTTTGCATATTGTTTAAAAGATTTAAATGAATTTATTTTTATTGCAGCCTGTTATGGAATAGTGCAAGTGCCAACAGGACCTTGGTTTTGTAGAAAATGTGAATCTCAAGAAAGAAGCGCTAGAGTTGTGAGTGTTATTCTTTATATTATCTGTATGCATACTTTATTTTACGAATAATTTTATGAATTCAGAATAAAATTTTATTAATATTAATTGTATTCTCATGGGGATTATGGTAGCCCTTTAAGACTTATATTCTAGGTGTTGTATGTTTTATTTATGTAGTGTTAATGGTGCATTTTTTTGTTATATAATGAATACAACTAGTTATTGAAATTTTCTGCATTTTAAAATATATATATTATATGGAGTTAAAAGCTTTTTTAAAGTCATTTCTTTTTACTTTCTTGTTCATTTTTATAAAAATTACTCGCCTCTCTTTATTGCTTTTTGTTTTTAGTTTAAATTTCTTTTTTATTTTTATTTTAAAATGTTTTCTTATATGTATGTTTAATTTGTCTCATGCTTGAATTGCTTGGTAAATTTTTTTTTTATTAGTTTATACTTTATTTTTTTATTACTTTATATTTAACATAAACTCAATATCTATGTACAAGAAATTTAAATATAATTATTTAAATTTTAATATTTATATATAATAATGAATAAGTTCTGATAATTAATTAACCTAATGGACATATTTAATGACTTTTGTATGTCAGAAAAAAGTGATTAATCTTTTAAACAAATCCAAATATATTATAAATTTTTTTCTTCCTTTTTTTATGTAAAATTATATCTCATATTTTTTTAAAAATAATTTCCCCTTAAATAAATTTTTTGTCTTTTATTTATTTTTATTTATTGTCTAAATTTTAGTTTGCGCCTTCGGATTTGTACTGCTAAATTGCTGTCAAGAAAAATAAAGGTGGAATTTAAAAAGAATAATCAGAAAAGGGAGAGAAATATTCAAAATCATTTACAGACTTCCTCAATACACTGGCTCTACATATCTCAACGGCTGATTTTTTGTTGTGTTGCTCTGATTCCTGTTATCTGTGTACAAATGACAGTAAATTTTGATGTTGCTATTCAATCATGAGAAATAAAAGAAAGGTAAAATTTTGAAAAAAAAAATGCAGTACAATTAAATAAATGTTGTTTGAATCACAAAACACATTGTAGGCAAATTTAGGTTAAATATTTCTTCGTTTGTAATGTAGGGTGTATTTTTGCAAATTGAATTCATAATTGCCTTACTACTGTATCGTGCTGTTATTAGTATTACTGAACTGAGTATTGTTTTTCTATATTGTAATATTTTGTATGATTTTAATGCCATTGAGTTTTTCCCTTTTTCTAGAGATGTGAACTTTGTCCTTCGAAGGATGGTGCGCTAAAACGAACAGACAGTGGAGGTATATTTCATTATAAATATTGTTAAACGTAATGCTTTTATGAATCCTATTTATTGTTCTTAAAAACATATAAATAAGTAACATTTAACTTTTTCTAGTCTCTCTGACATTTAAATCTAAAGTAGAGGATATAATTATAAAAAAATGGTTTATAGAAAACTTTTATAAGCTGCTCTATAATTATTTTTTTGTTGTTCTTTTAATTTAATTCAGTTGTCTGCAATGCAATTCAGTAAGATCCTCTTATAATGATCCTAAATTTTACAAGATTTGGTATTCAACAAGAAAAATAGTATTTTTTCTAGTAAAGTACGTGAAATTTTAGCGAACAATTTTTTTAACCTTTTTTTTTAGTATTCCAACGAGGCAAATAATTATTTTTAAAAAAAATGGAGTACAATGTTAAATCCTTTCCAGTGACTTAAGGAATAAACTTAGCTTATAACACTGACATGTACTACTCGTCAGTTACGCTTGTGTGTTATTACAAAAATACTGTTTTTTGAAAACTACAGAAATTACAGATATTGAAAAATTTAATGCCTAAAGTGTTTTATGGTGAAAATTAAATGAAGCAATATCAGATAAATATGTTGTCGTTTGTTAATAAAGAATTTGTAAAGTAATTCCTATAGGTTGTTTTTTATAATTAAATCTTATGTATTTAAAATTTGTGCACTGGAAATAAATTCTGATTTTGAGAGCATTTTGAGATTTTTTATATTGAAAACAAAACTTGTTCTTTTTTTTTTTTTTTTTTTTTTTTTTTTTTTTATTATTTTTTTTTTTTAAAGCTTGTTAAATAAGGCTTGACAAATAAGCAAAGGGGGTAGAAATTTATATTTAAAAATGTAAATGTAAATTTTTACTGTTTTCACCAATGTTTATGATTTAAACCGCTAGGTTTTAATCTTTCATAATTTTTTTCATTTGCTTTTTTTTTTGTAAGATCTTTTACCGCACTGCTTTTTCAGACACCTATTTAACAGTCAGCTTTTATGGTTCGATCTTTGTTTACTTCAGGGGAGTTGTGGGAGAAAAATTAATGGCTCTGCACCTTTTTCTCATGGACTTATACTTAGAAAATTTAATTTTCTTTTGTACTGGAAAGATTACAATTAAACCTTGAATTCAGTTTATGGTTAACAATTAAAAAGAACTGAGGGCATATTCAGTTTTATAATGAAAGTAACAGATCAAGCCTATGCTTAAAGAAACTTTTATGTTTAAATTTAAGCTATATTTCTTTGGTTGAATCACAGTTTTTAAATTTTTATAGGTTGGGCTCATGTTGTTTGCGCGCTCTACATACCCGAAGTACGTTTTGGAAATGTCACAACGATGGAGCCTATTATTTTACAGTTGGTCCCTCAAGATAGATACAACAAGGTAATATATTTTAACTTTTACTGCAATTGATATGCTCTGTTCCTTAATATGTGTCTGCACACCCAGTTTTCAAAATCAGGTATCTGTTAATAGTGAACACAATATTAGTGCAGTATCAATTCTTTTGTTATAATATTATTTCTTGTAAATACAAGAAGGAATTTATGACATTGTTTTTATAAAATCGTGATGAATGTTTTATTGGCAAAAATTATTACATGTCTTGATTATTGTGCTGGTGTAGCTAAAATTGTGATGCTTGCATGTATGTGTATAAAATATATACATTTTTATGCATTATATATTTTTATTTAGACTGCTTGATTTTGCTTAATATAATTTATACTCACATATATTGCATATGTGTTTATGCAAATTTGACTTTCATAACTTATGGCAGTGGATTAATTTTCCTCTTTTGATACTAGATTCCCGATTATCAGTGGTTTCCAATGACACTATAACCTCAATTAATTCAATTAACTAGTCCAAAATGTCGTCAGCATATTTTATATGCTCATTTTTTTAAAAAAAACGTAGTTGACACTTTATAATAAAACTTCGTCCTCAGTAAAAATATAACTGAATCTAAATATATAACTGGAAACGAATCTAAAATATATAACTGGAAATGAAATTTCCTGTTAGAAAAATATTTTGTAGATTTTCATTCCAATGAAATATTCTGCAATACAAATTCTATTAAAAAAATATTGCACAGGTCATTCTTTCTAACTACCACTTAGGCAAAAATTTGTGAGACAGAATATTACGCATAAATAATTTAGCTTTTAAAAATTGCATCTCCCATATTTTTTACATCTTAGATTTTGCCCTGGCATCAGACCACAGATAACCATGAGTATAATGCATGTATGTATTGTTTGACTCAAAAAGGAGAAAAACAGAATTTTTAGTCATTAAGGATTTCTCTCTCTTTTAGTTGTGTTATATTTGTGAAGACCAAGGTAAGGAGTCGAAAGCATGCGTTGGAGCCTGCATGCAATGTAATAAATCTGGCTGTAAGCAATATTTTCATGTCACCTGGTAAGTTATTTTTTATTTACTTATTTCAAATTTGATACTTGGCCACCTTTTATTTTTTAATGGTAGGGAAAAAAATTATAAAATGTCTAATCACTTATCAGCATATGACTGTATCTCGTTAAGCTCTACATTCTTATGTTCTCGGTATCTATCTTAGGGTTGTCACTGTTGAGTATTAGAGATGCTTTTCGAACTTGGTAATCTTTAGCGACTTTTGAGCAAAAAGCGTTAATAACATCGATTTTTTTATTTTTTAAAAAAGTGTCAGCATTTTGAAGATTTAGATTTAATACTCATATATTGAGGTATTTTATAATCAGCAGTGGCTCTTTTTTTGGGGGGGGGGCTTTTTCATTATTTTGAATTTGGGGGGCGGGGGCGGAAAAGGTCTTGTTTTTATCTACAAAAACGTAAAGCAAATTTTTCTTCTTTTTTGTTGCAATGTGATCAGTCTGCTTGGCAGATTTTTGTTTTCTATGGTGATAGCCTTTGATGTCGAATATATGAGTATTTCTAATAATCACCGCTTTTACAGAATTGTTTTATTTGATATTCAATGTTTCTTGGGTCTATGAATTTGTTGTATTCGCTTAATTATCCTCAATATTTAACTACACATTATTTTTATTAATCTACCCCTTTTATTCATATTTTTCCTAATAAGATTTCAAGATAAGATTATTGTAGTACAAGAAAATAAAAAAAATTTTACATTTAATTTTTAAATTTTTTTTTTTTTTTATAGTTGTTTTTTATTTGGATTTTTGTTTTCCTTATTTTCTTAACTAAATTTGTACCTTTTTATGTATGGTATTATTTTCAGTTTAGTGAATATATTATTTAAAGATAGAATTGTCGAAAAAAATAAAAATATTACTAAAAGGGTAAAATTTTAATTTAAAAAAATATTAATTTAAAAATCCTTACTTATTTGCTAAAAGTTTTTCAATCGGTCAATTTTTCTTGGCACATTTCTTATTGCCAATGTATTTGTTAGTAATTTTTAATTCATTTTCTTTTATGAAAAATTCCATATTAAATTAACAAAAACTTTTTAACTCTAAATTTATGTTCTTAATAAATCTTTTAACAGAATCTTTTAAAGTAAACAGAATTCTGTAAAGCTATCAAAATATGGAAAATACTTTTTAACATTTATGTTTGAAAATTGACAAGTTTTATTTTTTGAAAGAAATACCCTGTAATTAGAAATGCATTCTGAAATGTTCATGATTTTTTTCATTATTTTCAAATTAAATATTGGAAAAGTGTTAAAATCACTGACCACTTCATCAAATTTTTTAAAATTTTATAGAATTAATCTTGATTTGAAAATGAAAATTCTTAGTAGGAAAATTCTTAGCAGTGCACCTTTGCTTCAAAGGTAATTTAAAAATCTTTGAAATAAGGCAATTTTTTTAAGACTTTGATAGTAAAAACACCAATGAGTAATAATTAAAAAAAAATCAGCATATATGTGATGTACATTTTTACGTGACCTGAAAGCCGCAAGAAACCTGTATTTTGCACAACTTTCAATGTAATTAACTGCCTTTACAAAATTTAGACTAAATTTGAATTAGAAATATGAAATTTACCAGAAAAGAAACCTTAAATGAGCAGAAAGAAATTTGATTCAGAGATCTATGGTAACTGATTCATTTTTTATATGACGTGGCTCTAAATGTAGAGGTTTTTACCTGAATAATTGAATGCAGAAGTAATTATGAAAAAGCTGTTAATTTAAAAAAAAAATGTGATTCAAGCCTAATATAAATACCTGAAGTTAATGCCCTACCCCGAATTGAACTCTCGAGGTCTCTATAATTTACTGATGGGTAGAAGCAAAACTTACTTGTATACATCTTGGCTAAAGATAATGATGTTTCTGATATAATTTTTTATTTTGAATCAGATGAAATCACATCCAAGTTGTTATATCTAATAGCAAATAAGTTATTCAAAGTTTAATATAGAAACAGAGCAAGTTTTGACTTATTAATATTTACTGTTCTGGTATTGCTATTCAGGCAATTAAGGTATGGATTTCAATGTATTTTTTGTCCAATAGGTTTAAATTGTTACTGAACTGAACTATTCCTATCAATCCCTATTAAAACACATGTTTAATAATTTTACGTAAATAACATTTCCTGAAAATTTCAACAAAATCAGAAATCTCAAATAACCGTTTTACCTTTTCTGTGTATTTTATAGAATTATGCTTTTTAATGATTTTTATGAACTTTTAAAAATACGTTTCTGGAGATAAATAATTTTATTACTTTCATTTATTTTATGACAATGAAACTATTGTGTGCAATTTACCATTAGATCTAACTCAACAAATTGTTTGGCACAGCATATCCTCCTTTGGATCTTGTGCCATAAAACTTCTACATTCAATCCAATCCAATCCAATCCAGAAATCGCAAATATCCAACTCTGTTTGACTTTTTAAAAAAAAAACTCGCTTTCAATATTACTTATTGTGTTTTAGCTATTATAATGATAAAATTAGGTGTGGTTTGATTTGAATGGTATAGTTGAATAATTGAAGATTGTGATGAAAACTGGATAATGAAAATGACAGTTGAAAATGAAAACTATTATTTAGTATTTCTAGAGCTTTTTATAAAATATAGTAAAAATTGAATAATTAGTTTAAATGGATTAGAATTTGATTAAGAATGATTAAAAAAAATAAGCGTTTTTATAAAATATAATAAAAATTGAATAATTAGTTTAAATGAATTAGAATTTGATTAAGAATGATTAAAAAAATAAGCATTTTTATAAAATATAATAAAAATTGAATAATTAGATTGAATGAATTAGAATTTGATTAAGAATGATTAAAAAAGTAAGCGTTTTTATAAAATATAATGAAAATTTAATAATTAGTTTAAATGAATTAGAATTATTAAGAATGATTAAAAAAATAAGTTTAAGAAATTTTAAAAGCTAAGAAATATGTAATACCTATTGTGGCATCACAGTTATACTATGTTTCAATCTAATTACTATGATTAATTTCAGTGCTCAAGCAGCTGGGCTGTTGTGTGAAGAAGCTGGGAACTATGAAGATAATGTGAAATATTGTGGATATTGTATATACCATTATCAGAAGCTGGTAAGTAGCCAACCTGTTAATTGCCGGTTAAAATTGGTAAGTATAGCTGTAACTTTAATAATTTATTTTGTCTCAAGATTCCATTCCAGTTAGTTGGATAAATCAAAAAAAAAAATTCTTTTTTTTTAAAAGTAGAAATTGAAAAGTTGGTTTATGTCCCTGGAATAAATAGCTCATGTTATGTTTATAACAAAAATATACTTGTAATAGCTAAGACCAAGCATACTCATGCTTATTTTAAACGTAATTTTTTGGCTTGGTTTCATTTATTAACACATTACTCTAGAAATATTAGTAAAAGAAATAATTTTGAAAAAGCAAATCTTTTATTTCTAATGTTATGAAATTAAAATTGCCTCCTTAAATGTCATCCTTAATGCTATATTAAATTCTTATGTTATCGTTATTTTGCTGAGATACACCTTGGCGTTTATGATTTTATACCTGAAATTTTAGTACCTGTGTCATATTTTATTGGTTGGCCTATCTAATGATTTATTTTCCCTTTTCGCTCTCGTAATTGAAAATTCTATTTTGTTGAATTGATATCTTCAAAATTTTATTATTATTCTTTTCCTTTTTATCTTTTGTGGCAATATATCTGGATTTATCATACTCTAAAGAATTAACAATGTAAGTAAAAAGCAGATGGCAAGAATGTGGCATAGTGCGTGGCACATTCGTCCCCCACAAAAGCAATCGAGGAATGCCCCCCCCCCCAAAAAAAAAGAGCTCAGGAATCCCTGTCTCTTTTAAAGATCAGTGAAAGTACAAATCCCATTCAGCCTATCTCTGCAGAATTATGATATTAATATGCAAGCAATTTTGTTCTTTGACGATTTAATTAATTTACCAAAAAAGAAAAAAAGAGAGAGGGAATGTAGTTATACGAAAAAATAAGTTTACCCTGAACTCAATTATTTTTGATAATGTGGCTAATAAAGTTTAAAAAAATATTTAGTTTAATTTTTCTAAATAAAATCTGTTAAAAATGCCTTACTGATTTATTAACTGGAATGGATTCTTAAAAGGTGGTGGAAAGCTTCCGGCATTGAGGAAAATAATCCTCACTAATTCTTTATTTTACAATTCATTCTTTATTTTATTGTATGATGGATGGTGTTTCAATTTCAAAGAGTTCACAAACATTTTAAACTAATCAACTCCATATCCTTTTATAAAGCCCATTGCTTATCTTAAGAAAAGATTGCGTTCAAGGGCTACCCTGTCCAGTACAGATTATTTTGGTCCCACATGCCCTATGATCTTGATTATGTCCCAATAAAAGAAATGCTTTCTTAGTGCGGATTTCATTGTAAATACACATCATTTCACAATTTATCTTACCATTTTCACTTATTAAAATTTTGATATTTTTTATATGTTTTTGCCGTGCTGATTTCATACTATGTATTTGAATAATTACTTTTTGACGTGCTAGATGCCATTATGCATCCATGTGGTTTTGTTGATCTTTTATCTTGCATCTATTGCTGCAGATTTCGACTTGAATTTTAAAACACATGATTTTTTTTATGCTTTGTCATTTAAAAGCTTCTATCATTAGTCGTTAAAATGTTATTTAATTTGACCCGCTCAATTTGCACCAATTATATTAAATCCATGTGGTTTTGTCACCACATAAATCTGCTCGCTCTAAATGAAATGAATAAAATAGCCCAATAGTATAAATGAACAATGAGCTTACATCACTCTTTTCTTGAAAATGCTATCCATGCTTTGTTTTACTCTAAATTTGTTTTTGCAAAGCTTTTCACTAATTGTTATTTCATTAGTTTAGATTGTTTTTCATAAATAAAATTTACTGTGTTTATAAACAATAATACTTATTTAATATAGTTTTATTTTTATAGTAGGGTAAAAATTATCTCTAGTTTTTAATTGCTATATTTTTAATAGCTGCTAAATTACATACGATAATTTATGAAGAGAAGAATACCACTGGTCTTGTAAATTATTAATTTTTTTTTTATTAATGTGTAAAAAGCAAGATCTTTTTGGTAAACAATTAAGTAAACAAAGTAATTTTTATTATTTTTTCTAAAATTAGTTTTTTGGCATGATAACCTGTTTTTGACATGTCAAGTGTCAAATTCATGTTAAAATTTTAGAAAATCTTTAGTAAAGGCTAAGGATAGGAAAAATCATAAATGGAAGAAAGAGCATAAAATTTAATAATAATAATTTAATAAATGTTTAAAATTATAGTTAATACTTTAATAAATTAAATAAGTAGAAAAATGAATGCTTCGAAATCAATGCAAATTTTAAAATAAGAATAAGTTTTAAAATTCCTTATAAACAGTATGAATTATGAAAAATCATTAATTATACTGATAAGGTAACACAGAAATATATTTTGTTATTAAGTATTGTGCATTTACAATTTGTTAAGCTCTATATATTTAAATATTTTAATTTTCTATAATAATTAACATATTAAGGCAATATAATTTCTATTAAAAAAAAACCAATTTTATTTTGTTTCTTAAATGTATGAAAATAAGTACAGTTGGATCCTATAACTGATTACAAAACCCCTACAATATAAATTTAAGAGGGAAAAAATGTCTGATGTTTTTAGCAATAGATCTAAATTAAATAAGAAAATAATTTTGTTATTTTATTTTCTTTATTTGTTAACTGTGTATGAAAATTGAAATTGAAATAATTTTTTTGCTGCAATATGGAATTAATGGATTCCTGGTTAATTTTGATTAGTCAGTTCATTGTCCTACATTTTAAAGAGAATTCAGGGTGCTAAGCTTTTTTAAAAAGTGCTTAAAGGTGCTTATTTTTGATTTATGTTTTTTATTCGGGATTTGTAAAAAGTGCTTAATTTTCTATCTTAAAGAGATATTTTTCCTTTCCCGTGTCGCTTGTCGTTCTAAATTACAAAAAAAAAAAAAATTCTTACTTTTTCACAAATTTCACTGCAATATTTATCAGAAACTAGTTATTTTATTATGTAAAGTTTTTGAAAATGTTTTTGAGTTTTATTGATTTTATGTTTATAAATTAAGAACTTTAAACAATAGAAATTTTTTTTTTATCTTTGCACTTATGAGCTGCACCTAATTATGAATTTTTTTTTTTTTGGAAAGTGATTAAAAATATTTTTTGAGTCCTTAAAAAGTACTTAAAAGGTGCTTATTTTTTATTGAAAAATCTGGCTACACACCCTGGAATTTCTAAAGAGCCTGGTTAATTTATGTTTTCTGAGTTGTGAACTAAATACCTCAGAAGACATTTTATTCAAAATAAATAATAAAATATGATAATACAAGAAATAGATTTAAAATAGTTTTAATTACCTAATCTATTGGTTTCTAGTCTTCGTTTCCAAAATGATGCTGTAGGGATTTTATACTAAAACACATTTAAAACATTAATTTAATGAAATTGTTGGTTTTATATAGCAAAACAGATTTAAACTTATTTTTTTATTAGACAATTATAATATTTATTAAAAGAAAATTTTTGTTTCAGCGGAAGGATAGCCATATTAAAATAATACCAGCTTTTAAGCCGATCCCTGCCGACAATGCTACTCCTGAACCTAGTCCTGAAAAACTGTCTCCTGGTTATTTAAAAGAGAAAGGTCGTGCCAAGAGTGAAAGAAGGGCAAAACAGGCAGCATATGCTAGTAATTCAGTTGTGAGCAATAGTGACTTGTCTAACTCTGTGAACATTGATCAGGACTTGAGTGATAGCAGTGCAAGCACTATCAGCAATACTAGTTTAAACAATGGAACTGTGCTTGTTGCACCAGAGTGTAGCAAATCTGAGTCTAAGTTCAAAAAGGGTGACATTATTCATTCCAATAGTAATAGTTGCAATAGTAAAATGAATAATATTAATTTAAAAGACTCAACCTCTACACCATCTCAAAGTCCTGCTTACGGGAGCCCTAAACCAGGAAAGAAAAAATCCAAGGATTCGAGTATATCTGGTTTGAGCAAGAAAAGTCCACCGAATCATAAAGATTGTATTGTTGAGGTGACTGATATTAGTTCTACGCCTTCTTTTACTAGCATGTATGAAACATTCATTGCTAAAGAAGCAGAAAATAATCAGTCAACTTCTGAGAAAAAAAGGAGTGCAGATTGTTCAGATGAGCCAGAGAAAAAGAAATCAAAACATTCCAGGTAAATTATATAACTTTAGACATATTCTTTATTTATAACACATGTAACACATTTCCTTAATAACTTCTACAAAAAAATGCAAGTCTATTGCATATATAGTTTGTCTATGAAAAGATCTCTCCTCAACCGCAAAGTCAAGACCATTTGTTGCTTTGGAAACAAGAAATAGCATATTTCAAAGAGGGAGGCTTCTCTTGCCTCTCCAAGCCAAAACCTTTTTTAAATATTGACTTAACATTCCTACTTGAAATAGTTGAACCTTGTAACCCTAGTCANCTTCTACTCCGAAACGGACAAATGAAAATGAAACAAATGTGGGTAGAAACGATCAACACGAAATAAATACGTATTTGAGCAACCTAATGAGAATAGCTGATGAAAAAGTAGATGTAGAACATTTTCCATATGATGATGCAGCAAAAATATTCAATGTTTTAAAAATTAGAAGATGTTAAAAATGCATTATAATTAAAGAAATGATTTCTTTGCGTTTTTTTTTTTTTAATTTTTGAAATCTCACCCTGTTTTTGAGAAAGGGTGAGAAATTCTCACCCACTTTTTTTCTGAGATGAAAACACTGAATATTGACTTAACATTCCGACTTGAAATAGTTGAACCTTGTAACCGTAGTCACCACCACTGCTTCAGAATGGCATGGAGAATTTTTTACATAGACAGATTATAGTCTTCTAATTAAGATGTCGACGTTCTCTGTTTTCAATAGTTGTCCTCAGAAATTGACTTTAAATCCTAATATACATTCTCAAATTGTCCAAAAATATCTTGTTTTTTTATGCATTGAAATATATATATATTAAAAAAATCAGAAATGTGCATGTTTTATTGAATAAGATAATTTTGTTTTTCAGAGAATACTATCAAAAGGCGAAAAAGTATCCTATATATATCAAAACTGCTTAGTAATGATATCGACCTTGATAAAGATGGTTCTGTATCTGTATTTTTGAAGGAAAAAAAAGTTTTGTTGCACATATAAATTAAAATTTTCCATAAATATATGAATATCCTAGGATCATAAAATTATTTGAGAACGCTCCGCTGATTTATCCTCAAATCATGGTTTAGAAATCTGGTCACTGCTAAGACTTAATCCATGGTTACCTAACATGTGCGCTATTGCTCACTAGAGGGCAATAAAGAGTTTTAGAGGTGCTAGTATGTTTATTGGTTATTCATGGGTGCTAGTGATTTTTAGAGGGTTGTTCTTAAACTATAGTTGAAATAAGCATTGAGTACTTATTAAAAGTCAGATTTTTTTTTTGTTTGGTATAGAAAATTTATTTACACTTATAACTCAGTAAATAATATTAGTTATTAATTCAGTTATATAATTAAAACTATATCTTAAAAAATGTACCTACATGGTTGTTTTTTATTGTACTCAATTTGGTTTTAATGTTGAACTGCACCATAGTTTTTGGATTAATTTGAAATTTTTATACTTCTGTGATTCCCTAAATTTTGCCTAAAATACTGTTTTATTCTTTAATTTAATTAAACTTGCATTAAAAATTCTGAAATTTATTATTTGTTAGCTTTAAAATATTTAAAAATTTGCATATTTTTCTCACACTACAGAGTTCTCCCTAAGAATAAAAAGGGTGCTTCTTCACAAGGGGCACTCACTTAACACTGTAAAAATTTATCAAAATGTGTAATATTGTGTAATAACTGAATTGGATCGTGATCATTTTTTAAATTACCCTCTTATACTGTTTTATGTGTGGTGTGTATTTCAAAAAGTAATTCTCACTCATTATCAAAAAGAGAGAAAAATGTGTAGTTAATAAAGTATAATTAAAAGCACGCTAAATGTCAATCAGTGAGCACAAATTTGTTTCAAAGAAAGTAGATTAAAAAAGAAATGATTGTTCATAAATTTGAAATCTTTTTTTCTGTAATTAAAATTTGAAATTATAAGAAAATAAAGATTTAAAAATGCTTTTTTTTTAAAAAAAAGAAAAGGTAGTTGATAAATATTTTTTAAATTTAAAATCCTTTTAAAAATTCATTAATATATCCCATGTAGAAAGGAAAACTTATAAAAAATTTTACCAGTTGTGAATAATCCTGACAAAATAAATATTTGTAATAGTAATCAGAATTAAACCTATCAACACAGATAATTTTATCAGTGTGTAATTATTATTTAAACAATGAATTAATTTTTTTAGTAAATGGAACAAAAGAGGAACGGTAACAAATCAGTGAATTAGTAAATTAGATTAAGCAAGAATTTTTTTTAAACCTATGATATTTGGTAAGGCAGAGAAGAAGATTTGCAGTTTTATTACTATTGATGTTTTTTGAAATTAATGTTATAACTGTATTTCTTAATTTTCCGAAGGCAATATTCTAAATTTTAAATTTGTGTATTTTCTGAGACATATTACTGAAGTGGTTCTTACATATTTTTAATAACTTCTAACTTAATAAATTGGAAGTTGCTTAATTTTACATTAAAGAAATTTATTTTCATTTGGTAATCAGGAAGGAATTAAATGTTCACAATATTTATTTTAAAGGAGTAAGTCAAAGAAAGAACAGTCTCTGAAAAGTCTTATCGAAGCAAATATTCCTCCAGAGAAAACAAATCCCCATATTCCCATTGTGAGGATTAAGAGAAAATTTAATCATGATACTTCAACAAGCGTGCACTCAGTTGAGGAAGTGTAAGTAAATATTAATCTTTTTCTTAATTTTATCTTTACTTTTAATTGCTTTTTAGAATTTTGGTTTGAGATTGTAAAGTGATATCTGCTTTCTTTTGGGTTTGGTTAGTAGAAAAAAGATCTTTTTAAAAAAGTTTTATTATTTAATTACTAAATAGAATTTTATATTTAATATTTATTTCAAATATATTTTTATAAGTAAGCAGTTAGATTTGATAAATAAATAATGATTAAAGTTCTTGAAGTTATTATCTTTAATTAATTTGTTTAAATATTTTTTAACCTCTTAAAGCACAATTTTTTTTCGGAAAAACTGATAAAAAATTATAGGAGTTTTTTTTTTTTAACAGAAAATAAATATGTAGGTATAGTGTAAGTTATTTTTTGTAATCAGTTGTGGGAGTGACTAGGGAGCGGGGGTTGGTGTAAAATTTATAAAAAATAAAAAAAAATTTGTACTACAAAGTTTAAACAATTTGATTATAGTTTAATTTCGAATTTCAAAATATTAAAATCAAATTAAATAAACTCAAGAGATTATCTCTGAAACTTTTTAATAAATTAGAATATTCAAAACCAACGGAGTCACTCATCATCGGAAACTTTTTCAAAACAAACAGTTACTAAAAATTTATTTATGGTTAACTGTTTACTATTATGATGTTTAACCCAATAAAAATGGATATATTACCTTTCCCACACCAAACAATTACTTATAACAAAAAATTCCTAACAAACTTATATTTCTATTCATGAAAATTCACCATGTGGTTTACACAAGAAAAATGCTACATGGTGGTGTCATCTATGGTAAATACATTTAATTATAATCTAGCCTATTCATTTTTACTAGAACGGATCTCATTAGGAATAAACAACATTCAAAATAAACTAACACAAGATACAAGATTGCTCATGTGAAACTTTGCCAGTAACTTTTGCCCATGTCAGACATGGGCAAGTGCGTTAAGGGGTTAAAAGTCTGTCAATTCCTAAGCTGACAATCTAAATTATTTAGTTTAGGTTGAAATTATTTAAAAGTTATTTTAAAAAATAACTAAGGAATTTTTTTAAAAGAAAATTTCATTCTCTAAAACTAGAAAAATAAAAAAATCATTATCATTTAAAAAAAAAAAAAGAAGAAAGAAATACTGTTGAAAGTGAGCAATTATTTGTGTTATCTATTGAAATGTTTTGGAAAGAAATAAAGTTTTACTTTACTGACTTGTGCTTTGATACTAGTATATCAACAAAGTAATAATGAAAATTATTTCTAGTTCTATTGATGAACCTAAAAGTTATGAAGCAATAATTGCTAAAACTGAGCCGGAGCCTGAACCTGAAGTGCGAGAAAGAACTCCTAGCCCTAAGCCAACTTGTTCAAAACAGCTTCCTGATGATCAAATTGAAGGGGAAGGTCTTCCATTTATTGATGCACCTATAAATAATATTGATATAAAAAGTAAGTAGCACTAAATGTTAAAATATTTGAATTCTTTAAAAGTTTAAATTGTAAATCAGTGAACTGTAAGCTTTAGGTCTTTCTTGTTTCTTGTCCGCAATCTTCTATTAACTTGCAACGGAGTATATCCGTTGTGTACAGGCCCCCAATGTATATGATCAAGACTAAGAAGCAACAATGCGAGGAAAACAACATCGCTGTCACAAATAGAAAGTCAACTGTTCTCTGTGGTCCATCCATCAAACTAGGCATAATCATATCCAGGTTGATGTTATTTTCAAGATAGTATGTTCAAAACATGTCCGAAGGTCACCAATATGGCACAAGTCTTATCGTTAACGTCAATCTTCATGTATTAAGAGGTTCCACGAGTTAGAATCGAGTTGGCGCGTCTTATATACAAGTGAATTGAAATTGTATTGTTGTAGTGGTAATTACACTAGACTCTCTAAAGTTCATTTTATTAACTTAACACCAAGAGATTCATTGTTATTTGTTACCCATCTGTAAGGCTTTTTTTTTTTTTTTTAAATAGGACTTGCCTGAAGGGCTGCATAAAATCAAGTGTTTTCTGTGGGATTACTGTGTTATATCATTGATGAACAAATATTTTTGAATAAAATTATTTTTATGTAGCATTAAAACATTTTTTTACTGTAACACAACAGCACTATCTCAAAATAAATGAATTGAGAGTTTGAGAAACTGGGAAAAAGAAAAGCTCTGAATCAATGAAAGGAAGAGAAATTTTCTCAGTGATCAGTTAGGAAGCAGCAAAATCTTTAAAATTGTGATCTTGATACAAAATTCCAATCACTCAACTTGCCAAAATGCCTAATCATCATACACAATTGCATCAGAAATAAGTGAATCACTTTTAATGGAAGGAGTTTCATTTACTGGTTTCATTATGGACTGTTTCTTCTGTAATCAGTTGTCTCTTTATTTTCATGGTATTTAATATATCAGTGTTAAAGATTCATACATATAGATATTAAAGTTGTTGCTATAGATATTTAGTGTATTATTAGTTCAGTAATTTTACATAAATTGTTTTTATAGATAAAGCTGTTATGCTAGAGAAAAATTTCTTTTTAATAAATTTATACTGGTTATCTCTAAAATTCCGTAAAACACTGGAACTTTCTTTACACAGTGTGTGACTCTATTCTACAGTCTGCTTGTACAGTGGAAAAGGTTTTTTTTTTAAAAAATTAAACAATTTTTTAATATCTGGAATTAGGCCATGCTTTTAACCAAATTTCCTTCACGAAATTTCTTTGCAATCTCGCCATTGGTAATCAAATATATTTATAACTGGCAAGTTTGTTTTATCTTTTGAAATTTGTTGTTCTATATATGCCGTTTTTTGCTTCAGAGGATGTTAAACAATTTTCTTATTGTATGCATGCTGCTAAATTCCTCGCCATTGGCGATCAAGTACTTCAAACTGGCAAGTTAGTTGCATCTTTTGAAATTTTTAGTTCCAGATTAATGTCTATGTGCTTAAATTATTACCTCTGTGCACCCGAGGAAGTATTTTGAAATCTGCAAGAAAGTGCGTTTTCCCTCTATTTAGAACAAAAGATGCTGAATCACACCCAAAATCATTGCTTCAGAGAGCTTTGATACCTTGAGACAACCATATTTTTGATTTAATAGCATTATTATTTCATTAAAAATGTTTAAGTTTATACATTCGTTTATGATTTTGTTCGCCGAAAATATTTATATATTGCATATGACATTATAAATTGCAAATCTTAAGTATTGAAATTTCATGCTCTGGTATAAGTATTTTATTATGATGTATTTTCAATTTTTGATTTTTTTTTCAAACTGTAGTGGAGCATCCTTACCAAGAGAATCTTGATGTTCCTTCAGAAACTTTTACAATGCCAATGCCAGATACTCTAAATCTGATGGACAGAATGACTAAGCAAATGCAAAATTCAGATTTTTCTGAAGAAAGGTAAACATGTGATTTAATTTTTTACAAACATTTTATTAACACAATGGCTGTTAATTGGCATGCTGTTATAGCTTTGTGTGACTTTAATTTTAATCATATGTTTTTGTTTATTTAAAGTTTAAAACCTCCTTCTACACTAGAGGAGCTGTTAGAAAAACAGTGGGTTCAAACTTCCAATTTTCTTCTTGGACAGGCTCAACATTTTGACAGTAAGTCTAACTAATCTTTTAATAACGTGTGATGTATCTAAAACTTTAAACTCGTTGAAATTCAATGAATATGATAGAACCTCGATTGATCGTTTCTCACGGGACCATTTGAGCGATAGATATGAGAAAACGATTAATGTAGGTCAACATAAAATATCAAATAATGACTTGAAAATGCCTGAGAAATAATAAAGCCATAATGGTTTTAATTAATAATTTTACAAATACAAAAACTTTTAAATAAAGAAAATTATGTACTAGCTGCAAAAATGACTCAAAACAAAGGTGAATTAACAAATTTTTTAATTTTAATTTATAGAAATTTTGATTTTATCACTTTTATTCTCTGCCTAAACAATAAATATTTGACATTAGTAACAGGTAAGTGTTAATTTTCTGTAAGTTCGAGTGAATATAGAATGTTCCTTATGGTTTCAAATCCTTCGAGGCTTTCCGCAAATGGGACTGGTTGTGTTTCCTTTTCACCATTTTCATCAGGATCATTTCATACCTTAGCTTCAGCTGGAACGATGGACAGAGATTAAGTTGTATTTGTATTACAGTAATAATTGACTTTTTTTAAGAAAAAAATTTTTTTTTAGCCATAACAATCATATTTTTATATCTTACAGTTGCGTCCATGATATCATGCCTTTATGAAATAAAAAATGAAAATATGAAGATGGAAAAGCAAATATCTGACTTAGTTAATCGCCGAGATTCATTGCTTGCAATAAATGCGCGTCTGAAAGTGCTTCCTGGTACAGAGAATGCTGCAAGTTGTAGTAATTTGCCATACTCTGCACTTAATGTAATGCATGCCAAACCAGTCTCTCCAAGTAATGTTCATCATGCAACAGCTGGCTATTCTGGTTACATGTCCTATGATAATGGGATGGTCCATAGTACACAGGTATTTACTTGTTTTGACTAAATTATTAGAATTTTGTTTTTTGTCAATTTGAGTTCGTTAAAATGGTAAATCTTTGAACAACAGCCGAAGTATGATTAGTGTAAATGGGACTTATGTTAAAAGGCATTCATATTTGGAGTTAGTAACAAGTTGTTTGTTAAATAAATAAAAATGAAAAGATCTTACGCAGAATTAAAAAAGAGGAATCTAGGAATTTAAGTTATTGAAGAATTATCTCGAGCTATTATTTTATCAGGGCTGATTGTGCTCCAGAAAAAATCTGGATTTTTCGCTAACAGTGATCCGGAAGTTTCCGGAGATCGAAGGTCCAGACATTTCAAAAAATCATTAATCACAGAAGTTTTGGGAAATCAAATTTTTAAAGGTGGAACTTAAAAACACAATTTATTTTATTTGTTTGTAAGGGAGAGCCAGAGAGATATTTTATAAGCTTATATTCATGATTAATATTCATTTTTTATCAGTAAACAGTTGTTATAATCATAAACTCAAGAAAGAAAGACAAATTCGTAAATTTTAATCACTTCTCCAGATCATCATAGGTATGTGTAAATAGTATAGGTATGTGTAGTATTTTAAATATATTTTAAGTAAACTAAGAAATATTGAGAAAAAGGGGGGGAAAACCTTGTTTAAATTTTTTTCAATTTAAACTTTTTTTTTTTACTCGAGAAATTTTCCAGAATTTTGATTTGGGCTCACAATCACCCCTGTTTTATAATCAACAGGGATCAAAAGGGCAACGAACATCATAATAGATTTATTTATCAGAAATAATACAAGATATTTCTCTAATATCAACTGTCAACTAAGCTAAAAAAGAAGTTTTAATGGTCGTCACTATGTTTCATGCAGGTTGCTTAAAGATTTTATGGTCCTTAATTTAAACTAAACAAAGAAAATCATATTTTAAATATTTTATTAATTAAAACTTGAATGTTCAAATTTTATTAAAACTTGATTTTGCGGAAAATTAATGTTAGTGTTTACAGAAAAGCTTTTGAAATATGTGTAATAATATTCTGGAAAATGTAAGTTTTAACACCTAGTTACATTTAAACATTGATTGCACAAATATCTGATACTATAGGAGAAATAATAATTTATTGTTGTCATTCAGCTGTTTAGAAAATACTTTATTTTTTTTTTTTTTTTTTTTTTTTTTTTTAATTTTAAGTAGTATACCTGTAATCAGTGATAATCATTTGGAGAAAGGTGTGACATAAGTAAAAATATTAATATTTTATTTATGGACTTGAATTTGTTTGTTTATTTTAGGATTATGGTTGCCATAAAAGTCCTATTCCTGGCCATAGTCCTGTGGCAACTGTTGGATCTAGTAGTTTACCTCTTACACCAAGTCCAATACCTTGTAGTCCCATTCCAAAATCAGATGTTTATCCTCATGTAAGTGTTAATAAAAATATTGAAGATAATTGTTTGAATTAGTGTCTTTTCTAAAGAATGGTTTATTTATGTTTCTGTTCTTTGTAAACATAACATTTAAAAAAAAANAAAGGCATGAAACTAAGATTTTTACCTTACCATCATTTTGGAAATAATCATTAGTGTATTACTTCATCGTTTTTTCTTCTTATTAAGCTTATTTTCAAATATATATATTTTTTTTAGTTGGGTTTAACAATAAAAAAAACGGCTTTTTGTAGCGATTCAGAAAACCGGAAAAATCAGTTATCCGGAATAGCGATGGTCCCGATCGTTCCGGATAATCGGTTCCCTACTGTAGTAGACTTAAATTAAAACATTTTGAAAATTGAAAATAATTATAAACTTTTTTTTTTTCTTCAAAAAAAGTCACCAATTTGGCAAGCATGAACTATTTCCTATAACATACTTATGTTATAGGAAATAGTTCATGTTCTTATGAAGGAAAAAAAATCAATATTAAACCAATCAATATTCTCGACGAATCTCGAAATCAATATTCTCGACGAATATACATGGGACGCGAAAGAAGAATAAACCCGACCTTACTCAAATAGAAACACACAAGCAATAAATATTATGATATAACTTTTCCTGCATACCCCTTTCCCCTCCTCCGAAATTGGTAATACCTTCATTGCAAACACTTTCCAAGGTCATTTTACTGCATTCACAAGTCGGGGGTGTTGTTCTATTTATAGCAGCGCAATGCAAAGCATTGTACTTCGGGAAAGCGTATATACGCCTGCGGCAGTTAACGCATCGTCTGCCCGAGACATATGTATACACCCACTGCAGTTAGGGGTTAATTAATCTAAAAAGGTTAATTTTATTTTAAAAATTATATGCGCTAACGAAATACTAAACCAACAAATTAGTTATGCATTTGTATGTATTAGCAAATTGTATTTTTAAAACATGCTAACTTAAAATTTTTTTTTAAAAATAGCTGTCTGCTTACAATCATGATTCTAGTCCCCTCAGCCATGTTCCCATAGTGACCAGTGCTACATCACAACCTGGTCATTTATATGGTCCATCTGCTACAATCTCTAATCCATTGCTCATGCCTGATGCTAGTTCATATAATTCTTTAGCCTGCCATAATGGTACTGCTGATGACATCAGTTTGTCATTGATGCAGCAGGTTAGTAACATCTGCTAATTTTTTTCTTCATATTTTAGAATTACATTATTTGCTTAATGAGTGCTCAAAGAAAAAAAGAACATGTGCTAATGACTAAATTTTATTGCAGCTTATTTTTTCTTGGTTTTTTACTATTTTTGTTACTTTTTCTAAACTTTTTTTTTTGTTAGAATGATGATGAACCTTCAACTGCAGTTTACCAAACTATATCACCGCCCTTCAGCAATCCTGAAATTACAAACTCTCCTCATGCCTCAGATCATCCAGTTTGTAACAACATTGTATTTCATCAGAATTTTGAAAACGCTCTTCAGAATGCCAACAACAGCATGGAAGAAGACAGATGACTACGGTTATGTTACTAATGATGTGGACGCATTGTACAGGCTGTTTTACGATTAGTATTTAGACATCTAAAAATCAATATTGAATATTTGTAGATCACTCCTTTTGGGTTTGCTTTTCTTTATTATCTTTTAATTTTAAATAGTTATGTAATAATAGCAATTAATAGCTTCTATTTTTTGCCATTCATGTTTTATTTGCAAAGATATCTACTACAGGGTGTGTAGTGTTTTTAAAAAGTGCTTTAAGGTACTTATTTTTGATTTACCTAATTTAAAAGCCCTTAAAGGTACTTTTTTTTTTATTCGTTGTTTGTAAAAAGTGCTTAGTTTTCCATCTTTTGAAAAAAGATTTTCTTTCTTTGTCATATCGTTTGTCATTCTAAATTACAAAAAATTCATGATTTTTCACAATTTTCTCTGCAATACTTATCAGAAACTAGTTATTTTATCATGATTACGTAAATGTTTTGAAAATGTTCTTGAATTTTGTTGATTTTATGTTTATAAATTAAGAACTTTAAACAATAGAAAATTATAATAAGTTTTATTACTACACAGATCTGTATTATGAATTTTTTTGGAAAATAATTAAAAATATTTTTTGAGTGTTTAAAAAGTACTTAAAAGGTGCTTATTTTTGTTGAAAAATCTGGCTACACACCTTGTACTACGGGTTTTATGAAATTTAATTTCCGCTCTAAAAATACAGAAAGTTTTATGAATCATACAAATCCAATATCTATTTTTTTCCTACAATTTATAAATGACAGTTTACATTTGACAAATTAAAAGATGGTGTATATTTTTTTTCTAGATTTGTATTTAAAGAATACTTTTATAAATTTTAATTATTATACTTAAAATATTAAAGTTAATTTTAAATTAAAAAAATCTTAATATGAATTTATTTATAATTTAATATTTTGAACCAAAGCTATCCTTATTATTACAGTAAAGATCCACAACTAAATATAAACGCGTACATTATAAATTAATATATATATGTTTTATTTAACTAATGCTTTCAAATTAAATTGTCTTGTTTTTTGCTTGCCAAGTAATGGGTGATACTATTAACAAAAAGGGGATGAAATAGCAGAGAGCTTTCACTATTTCATTCATTTCTCCCTTAGTTTGTTTTAAACTCCTGAAATTGAAATTATTGAAACTTATATTTATTTTACTATCCCGGTGCTTTGCTTCCCACGTTTGATTTAATTACTTAGTAATTATGTTNTTTTCACAATTTTCTCTGCAATATTTATCAGAAACTTGTTATTTTATCATGATTACGTAAATGTTTTGAAAATATTTTTGAATTTTGTTGATTTTATGTTTATAAATTAAGAACTTTAAACAATAGAAAATTATAATAAGTTTTATTACTACACAGATCTGTATTATGAATTTTTTAGGAAAATAATTAAAAATATTTTTTGAGTGCTTTTAAAAAGTACTTAAAAGGTGCTTATTTTTTGTTGAAAAATCTGGCTACGCACCTTGTTCTACAGGTTTTATGGAATTTAATTTCGACTCTAAAAATACAGAAAGTTTTATGAATCATACAAATCCAATATCTATTTTTTTCCTACAATTTATGAATGACTGTTTACATTTGACAAATTAAAAGATGGTCTATATTTTTTTCTAGATTTATATTTGAAGAATTATTTTATTAATTTGAACAATCTTAATATGAATGTTTTATTTATAATTTAATATTTTGAACCAAAGCTATCCTTGTTATTACAGTAGAAGAGATCCGCAACTAAATATATATGCATACATTATAAATTAATGTATGTATGTTTAATTAACAAATGCTTTCAAATTAAATTGTCTTGTTTTTTCCTTGCCAAGTAATGGGTGATACTATTAACAGGAAGGGAATGAAATAGTAGAGAGCTTTCACTATTTCATTCATATTTAGTTTGTTTTAAACTCCTGAAATTGAAATTATTGAAACTTACATTTATTTTACTATCCCGGTGCTTTGCTTCCCACGTTTGATTTAATTACTTAGTAATTATGTTAAAAAATTTTCAATTATTATGATTTCAGTTCTAACTGTTTTTCCCATTACTTGTAATTTATTGGAAATTGATCATTAAGTTTACTAGATTGTTTCATTTGAAATTAGTTAATATTATAGAACAATGAAAACATTAGAATATGGAGTTAAAAGGTATTAAAATATTACAGTCATAAACTCTGGAGTTCAACTAGCTTGAATTTTGGACATTTTATGCATTTGAAGTTTTTAATTGTTTTGTAGATTTAAAAAAAAAAGAGGAAAAAAATTTCGAAACTTTCAAGTATTAAATATTTCTTTGATTTTTTGTAAAAACTGGACGGGCCAGACTTAATCTAAATAATAGCAAATTAATTTTTAGAAAAGTATTTAGCCTTTTAGAAAACTAATCATTTTACTGTCTGTTATCAACTTTTACTGCTTATTTTTTAATTTGAGAGTTATTATATCTTTCCAATAAATAAATAAAATGGTAACTTAGCTCAATTGTTAAAAATACTGAATTGTCTGAAGATAATTTTAGTTTCACATTAAAATGTAGCAATAAAATTTTTAGTGCCAAATGTTTATTTCATTTTTCTAAGTGAAACCAAATTCTGCATCAAACTCAAGTATTGAACAAGTTAGCAATTGTAAACTAACTTAGTGGGCAAAAAACTTCTTATCTTATTTTTGGGAAATGATTAATTTCTGACCTTAATTAATGGAGTGATCTTCTCTAATTCATATTGTAGATTTCTGTGTGACATGTATAAATATTGGTTAGGTTGTGACTTGCTTAAGCTTGTTTTAATGAGAAAGTTTTATGGACTTGTTAATATCTCCATGAGAAATGTAAATTCTTATAATGGTAAATCAGTTTAGTGAATTGCTATTGTGTAAATTAGTGTAGATATCAAGTACTGTGTTTGTTATTATTTGTTAAAAAAAACTACAGAATTTAAAGTTTTCGAACAATTTCATATAAAAAAAAAAAATTTGCTTTTAAAGATATGTTTAGCATTACCTAAAATTTAATTTTTTGCAAACTAAAAAATATGTATATAAATGTATATTTGTTTTAAATATTTTTAATAAATTAAAATAACATGTTGTTAAACTGTTACAGTTCTTACCAGACTTGTATAAAAGCTTGTTAAAATACTGTTTTAAGTTTGAACTCTTCACAAATTTTAGGTTGCAAGTATAATCTGTATTATATTTTATTTTAATCTTTCTTTTGTACATAAAGAAAATTGTAGTTCAATTAGTAATTTAACAATTTCCATATGCTAATTTTTTTAAGTAGTTTATTTTCAAATATATGCGTTCTTAAAATTAAAACCACAGAAAATATTTAACATTTATTATTTAAATTACGTAATAAAATACAAATATCATGTAACATACTAAAAATTAATCACAATTAATTAATCATTTATTTATTATTATATTTAACATTAGTGTTTTGAGTATTAAAAGCATCTATTACACTGATTTCTTGAATCTTTTTCTTAATAATTTGATCCTATTTACTATTAATAGATCAAATGTGTCTAGTTTTTAGATATCATGTTAAGAAGTGTTTGCCAGCAATTATCAACAAGTTTATTGCAATTTAAAATAAAAAGTAATTTATAATCGTATGAATAGTAATTTTAAATTTTTTTATTATATGGGAGCTAGTTTGTAGAGTATGTAAGATTATTAGAAAAAATCTTAACATGTTTCTATATCATTGTTCCTGAAATACATATTTATTAAATTGCAGAAGTAAGTCTAGGGGTCTGTTTAGGTTATTCTGAGAGGTACCTTGTGAGGTATTTTGTGAAAATTTAGACATAATTTGTGAAAAATTGAAATTTATATTAAAAAGTCAACATAAAAATATGGATTTATCATTTCTTACAGGATAAGAAAATAAAATTTTAAGAAAAAGTATTTTGTGAAACTACCGTTTTTCGTAAAGCTGAATTTGTGAAGGTAAACGGTAGTAAATATGGCCTGGACAGACCCCTGAAGTCTATCTCTTATTTAGGTTAAATTTTTAAGTTGTTGTATTATTACTATTGCTTTGTGCCATTACAGTGTTAGGTTATACAAATTTTTATCTAAAATGTATGTCTCAGAAATTTTAATTGATATTATTAGAAGTGTTACTTTGTCTCATCGAAATCTGGGGAAATTGCATTCATAGTTTTTGAAAGATTGTATGCAGGGTAAATTTTTGTACATCAATGCTTTTTCAAAAAAATATGAGTTATTTTCAAGCAAAATTTAATAATGCTGTACAAATCACACCGGTCACAAATTGGTTGATAATATAAATTTTAGATGCAGGAGCCATGTTTTGGCTTTACCAAGCCTAAAACCAGGTAAAAATCAAAATAACTAAATTAAAATTCAAGTAACTTGGTTATTATCAAACCAACTAGATTTAAACTTAAGTAACTGGTTTAAATTCAGAATAGCAAGTTTAAAATTAGAAATAAATACAAGGTAAAGTATAAGATTTTGATAAGGAGGTAATAATCAACATAGATTTTGTATAAATTTGTTTAATATGAATTAGTTGCAGTAGCTAAAATATTTATTAAGAATATTATTTATTAAGTATACTGAATTTATATCTTCCACAAAGGGAAAGAAAAAAAAAACCTAAATAAAACTGAAATAGTAAAAAATTTATTTAATGTACCACATTAAAAAAATTGGACTAGAATTTCATTGAAGCAATAAAAATTAAATTATTAACTTTTTTTTTTAGATTTTTATATTTACATCACAAAATATTCTCATTATAACTTGTGACTTTATTTTGAGATTAAAAATTTGTGTTTGCTCAGTTTTCATATAGTAGAAAGGAAAAAAAATCTGATAGGAACTATAATTAAAAAAAGTACTGTTTAGCGTGAATAAATTAACTCTCTATTAACTAGTAATTTGATATTTCATATCCTTAGAATAATAACTTTGCATCCTATTTTTAAACAGCGTAATCTCAAAGTTAAAATTTCGAAACATTCATTCTTTCAAATACTATCAATCAAATGAAACCAAATGTTTTTGTTTATTGCTGATGTTTAATTCAATAATCAAATTTATTCAAAAGTGTTGGTATTGCATACCTTGTTGATGCTAATAACTCTGCTTATGGATCAAAATGCTATTTTAGCTTAGCTTTTTTTTTTAAATATTTTAATCCAATGAGCATTATACTTGTAATTAATTCTAAACCCTCATCATGTAATATATAACACAACAGTATTTTCTCCAATTTTAACAGTCACATTTTTTATACACTTGTG